AGAGAGAGAGAGAGAGAGAGAGAGAGAGAGAGAGAGAGAGAGAGAGAGAGAATATGAGATGTTGACTTGATTTACTATGCACAAGCAAAAATGCCTTTGAAAACAAGTCTTATTTGAACAGAACATTACATGAACTGTTGACAATACAATAAAACTGTTGATCCTAAGCGTCTGTCTTGCATCATACTATTTAAAAACTCTTTCTACCACAACTGCCTGCGTTAGCGTGAGCTTGATTCCTCACTGGAAAAGATTTATTTGATATTTCCATCCCTTCCCCTCAGAGACAGGATGATCCACCCCCTAACCTCTCCCTTCCATAAAACTAGAAGCTATATTACTTTTTTTTCGAATATCTTACATAATAATTTTTCTTCTAAAATGTTGTAATTTAAAACTGACATAATTCATTGAAAAGGAATTTATTTGAGACAAAATTTACCGAGAAGAAACTTGTTTTCGATAAAAGAAATGGCTTAGAGATTTAAGAAAAAGACACGTAAACCAAAAATGGGTCTATTAAAAAATTCTTGTTACGAAAGTCATTTTCTTTCTTTTCCGTGGCTCCCGTGACCTAGAGGTTAAGGTGTTGGCCTCTCATTCAAAGGTCCCGGGTTCGAATCCGGGTAGCGACCGAAAAATTTTCTTCTCTACTATTGTTTCCTTTCACCTTCTTTTCTGCTCTCTAACAATGTTCTGTCGTCTGCTTTCGTCTCCTCTTTCTGTCCCCACCCCCTCACCTCCTTTGTCCCCTCTGGGCTCCTGACACTTGCTGCAGCCTTTCTACTGATACTCCTTGGCTCCTTCTTACTGCTGTCTTTCAGCAACACCCCTGATCTTCTTGTAGGAAAGATCTACACCTAGCCTTCTCGGAAAAGGGCGAATTGCGAAAAATCTCGGAGATCCCGTGTGCAAGCTGCGCACGTTAAATATCTCTTGGAAGTCTAAAATCGATAAAAGTAGGCTTCGGCCGCCACCCGGGCAAAATTCAAAATTCCCTACCAACTGAAAAAGTTTAATGTGTCCAGCGCGCTCATGTGATCTTGTGCAGTTGCGAGCGCCGTAAAACACTTACCTTTCTTTTCTCGTTATAATTCATTTTCCCTCCCATTTAATATTCAAACAATATTCAATTTCTATTACTGAATTAAAAGAATATCATTATAATTCTGGAATTCCTAGAAACAGTGCTCTACATGTCCTCATTTGGACTGGAGACATTTATAACGCATTGTTCCAAACGTTTAATGGTGGCCAATAATAAGGCCCCGCCAAACCACTAGTGCTCAAAACTACCCACATTGTAAGTACACCTTTCAGCATGGGGTGGCTTCTGGAGAAAAACAACTACAACAACAAAACCCCACCTCCAAAACAACACCAAGAACAACAACAAGAACAACAACAACAACAACAACAACAACAACAACAACAACAACACCCCCACAACCCAAACAAACTAAAAACCCCGAAGTTTTTTTTTATTG